GGTGGGGCAAACAGTGTGAGCCAGGTTGAGGGAGTCTCAGATATGGCACCTGTCTACAGGCTCAATGGGGGAAGGGCTCATCAAAAGAACAATGGCTTCTGCCAGCACTTCTGCATGGGAGAATGTTGCTCCTCCAGCCCTCCTCCTGATGCCAAATAATTCAGTTCCTCCCTGTATGTTTCTGGTGGCTTCCAAGCTACTGCCCCCATGCTGGAGCTCAGAGGGAGTGAGTCTGAGTAAGTTTGTGCATGGGCCCTTTAAAAGGAACTTCCTGGGACTCCAACAGCTTCTGTCTCCGTCAGACTCGAATTTGGCTGGTTTTTACAACCAGAACTTATTGTAAATTCTCTTCCTGGCACTGGAACCCTGAGTTGGTGAGCCTAGTGTGATACTCCTCAAGGGGTACCTTCACAGCTGAGACATCCCTTCTGATTTTTAACCACCTCACATGAGTGTGGCACCAACCTTCTGAGCCTCTGCCCCTCCTACAAGCCCTGATGTGGCTTCTTCTTTAATTTCATAGTGGTAGGACTTGCATTCAGCTTAATTTCAGGTGGCTCTAAATTATGGTTGTTCTGTAGTTTAGTTGTAATTTTGATGTGATTGTGGGAGGAGGCAAGGACCTCATTTACCTACACTTCCATCTTGACTCAGTTATTACAAATTATAGACTATATTCCCTATACTGTTTTTTATATCTCATGACTATTTTGTATCTACCAATTTATGTTTCTTAATCCCTTCACATTTTTCACCCCCTCTGCCATTGCCCCCCTCCTCTCTGTCAACCATAAGTTTGTTCTCTGTATCTATGAATCTGTTTCTGTTTTGTTTGTTCATTTATATTGTTCTTAAGATTCCACATATGAGTAGAATGCTGCCTATGGTTTCTTCTAGGATTTTTATGGTTTCACAATTTACATTTAAATCTTTTATCCATTTTGAGTTTATTCTTGTGTATGGTATAAGTTGCTGGTCTAGTTTGTTTTTTGTTTGTTTGTTTGTTTGTTTTTGTAGGTATCTGTGCAATTTTCCCAAACTACTTATTGAAGAGACTGTCTTAACTCCATTGTATTTTCTTTTTTTTTCTTTTAAATATATATTTTATTGATTTTTTTACAGAGAGGAAGAGAGAAGGATAGATAGTTAGAAACATTGATTAAAGAGAATCATCGATCAGCCTCCCCCACACCCTCTACTGGGGATGTGCCAACCAGGTACATGCCCTTGACCAGAATCAAACCTGGGACCCTTCAGTCCACAGGTCGATGCTTTATCCACTGAACCAAACCAGTTTCGGCTCCATTGTATTTTCTTGCCACTTTTCTCAAATATTTATTGAGTGTAATGTCTTGGTTTGATTTCTGGATTTTCTGTTCTGTTTTGTTGATTTATATGCCTTTTCTTGTGCCAATACCATCTTTCAGACTTGGGTAGGGGCCACACAGCAAGAGAGGAGTGATAGCCCAGGCATCTCAGTGGCATCTACGGTAGTTGCCTGTCTCCATTGCTTCCCTGGTGTGGGTGAAGTGGTGAGACTCAAGCCACCCAAAAAGGAGCCCATCTACCTCTTTGGAAGGAAGAGTGAAGGCACCAAAGCTACTGTTTTCAGGAGTTATACTCTCCACCTTGCCTTTTTCATGCAGTCCTGGCTCCAGAAATCAAGGCATACCCATGGGCCAGTTGCCAAAATTCCTCCTGTTACAGGACCATGAGCAATGCCTGGAGCTGTGTGGCAGAGGCTTCCAACACACCTTCTTGGTAATAAGTAGATTTTAAGTCCCCAGTGGATCTGTGCTCAGCTTGGATGGGGCAGAGTCTCAGGGCTGAGCAGACAGTCTTGGCTTCCCATCAGCCCTGCCCTTGCACATGCGCCTCCAGACCTCTGCCTTCCATAGCTCCCCTGAGTTTCCACCTGGCAGTCCAGATTCCCCCAGGCTCACCCAGAACTGGAGTTCAGTGTAGGGAGAGTTAGGGAGAGCTAGCTGCAACCTCAGCAGTTAGTCCTCTGTGTGCACTCGTGCATCTCCAGATCCCTGCCCACCATGGCTTACCCAAGCCTCCCAGTCTCTGTGTGTCTTTCTCTCTACCTGACAGTTCAGACTCCTCCTGTATTAGCCTGGGTCCACAGTGTTTTGCCAAAAACTAGGGTTCAGTGCAGTTGGAACTGGGGATAAGTGCAGTCAGGGATTTCCTTCCCTCTCCTACCAGAGAACGACATCTAGGCACTCAGCAGCCCTTCCTCTCTGCGTGCATGTCTCCGTACCTCAGTCCTTTGCAGTTACTCTGACTCTCCATGTGCTTTCCTCTTTCCTACTAGTTGTAGAATTTCCACTCAGCCGGCTTTCCTGTGGTTCTGGATGCTGTCCTTTTTGTCTTTTAGTTGTAGTTTTGAAACTGTTGTGCAAGGCAGCAGTTTAGGTGTTTACCTATGCTGCCATCTTGATTTCTTCCCTGATGAAGTTCTTCATTGTCCTTTTTTTTTTTATTAGATCATTTATCTTCCTTTTTTTTTTTAAAATATATATTTTATTGATTTTTTACAGAGAGGAAGAGAGAGGGATAGAGAGTTAGAAACATCAATGAGGGAGAAACATCGATCAGTTGCCTCTTGCACACTGCCCACTGGGGATGTACCCACAACCAAGGTACATGCCCTTGACTGGAATTAAACCTGGGACCTTTCAGTCCGCAGGCCAATGCTCTATCCACTAAGCCAAACCGGTCCCGGCCATTTATCTTCCTTTTATTAAGTTGTATACGTTCCCTGTAGATGTTGGAGATTAAACCTTTATCAGTGATAACATTTGCAAATATGTTCTCCCATACAGTGGACTTTCTTGTTGTTTTGTTGATGGTTTCTTTTGCTGTGAAAAAGCTTTTTATTTTGATGTAGTCCCATTTGTTTATTTTCTCTTTAGCTTCCATTGTCCTAGGAGCAGTATCAGTGAAGAAATTCTTTCGGCATATGTCTGAGATTTTGCTGCCTGTGGATTCCTCTAGTATTTTTATGGTTTCCTGTATTATGTTTAAGTCCTGTACCCATTTTGAGTTTATTTTTGTGTGTAGTGTAAGTTGGTGGTGTTTCGTTTCTTTATCAACCACTGTAAAAAAAAAAAAATAGACAGTTTGGTGTTTTTATTTTTGTTTGGTTTCATTTCTCCATTGACAAAGTTTTCAGTTACTCACATTTTTGTATTATAAATAAGTCTTAGCTAGTCCTCACAGTGGTCTGTACAGTGATGAGAAGACATGGTGTTGGTCTTAAAATAGTTAGCATTTTGCCAAAATCAGTTTGGCTCAGTGGTAGAGCATCAGTCTGCGGACTGAGAGGTCCCAGGTTCGATTCTGGTCAAGGGCATGTACATTGGTTGCGGGCACATCCCCGGTGGAGGGTGTGCAGAAGGCTGCTGGTCGATGTTTCTTTCTCATCGACGTTTCTGCTCTCTGTCCCTCTCTCCTCCTCTCTGTAAAAAATCAATAAACTATATTTAAAAAAATGTTAGCATTAATTCTAGGTAATGATTTGCCACAATAGTTGGTTTCTTGTTTTGAAACACACTACATTAGGAGGGAAAAAGAGGTCGAGGACCCTCTTTGAGGGCACAGAGTTGAACCCACATTTCTTATGAACAAAGACAAGTGCTTAGGTACAAAATAACGTCAGTTATTTGTACAATATTGCTATGAATCTACACACATTTTAAATATATTCAAATATTTTGTATTTCTCAATAAAATCTTCTTATGTTTAACTAAAAGCCTAGTGCATGAAATTCGTGTACTGGTAGGCTCCCTCATGGCTGCTGGCTGCTGGCTGGGTACTCCCTCCCTGCCCCCGGCTGGCTACCTGCCACCACCAACGGCTGGGGCCTCCTGTCACCACCGCCAGTCAGGGCCTCCCTGCCTTCCCCCAGACGGCCCCACACCCTGATTGAACTCCCAGATGAACTCCTGGTTGAGGGGACAATTTGCATACTGCACTTTAATTATATAGGATTTTATTTTTAATGTTTCTATTTTCTTTTTAACTGTAAGTGACATTTATTGGGTAAATTACAGAGGTAGAAAAAGTAATCCTAGAAAAAAATGGGCATAGCAAACAAGTTCTAGTGGTAAAGGAAGGGCCGTTGGAGCTTGGGAGTGAGGAAGCTTATAGTAATGTGGTGGCCCCGATTGGGGTGGAGTGGGGGAGGGAAAGGCATAGGCATGCTCCTGGGAGGGAGAGCACTCTATTTTATTTTTCATTGTTTTACCTTTTTTATGGAAAAATTGCCTTATGGTTAATTATATGGCAAAAACATTTGTGGCAAAAATTCTTGCAGCAAAGATGGTACAATCAAGGGGCCTAGAACCTCCCAGAACATCACTGCTTTTTGAAGACCTTGTTCTTCCCTCTTTCTATTCCTAATGCCCAGCAGTCATTAGAGTATATTGGTGCCAGAGTGAAGATTTCTCAGAAGCTTCCCTTATCATCTGTAGAACTTGCATGGCTTTGCTTATTGTCCAGTTGTGGTCTCAATACTCACAGCCTAGACACCTGATAAAAGTGGTGAGGTTTTAGTTCCAAGACTTGCCCATGCAATAATAGTTCACATAAGTTATCTTCTTTCTTATATCTGTGAGCTCTTTCTCAACCCTTGGAGGCTCCTGAGACATCAAATGTCTCTGGTCGGATCCTGTACTTTTCACTGACAGTGAAACTAAACAACAAATACTTTCAAGCTGACCTGTGCCTTTTGCAGCAGGTCGACAGTTCTAATCTGCTTGGATTGAGTCATTGTCATTTCCTAAGAGCTGGATAAAGGGGCACTTGTGAAGGAGCTCACTCTGATACTCATCTGATGTAGAAACTCCATACACTGAGAAAAAAAACCTGACCACAGAGTGTTCCTTCTGAACTGACGCTAAGCCCATATCCCCCTCATTGCCTCTTCTCCCCACTCCCCTTGGTCATCTTCAGAGCCAGGGAGAGGCAGGAGGTGTGGCCAAAGAGGGTGAAAATTAGTTACTGAAGACTTCGCTGTGCTTCTCCTTTCACTCTCAGATGCTGCCAGGGTCTCTGAAGAGAGAAGACACCAGGAAATAGGTAAAAACTATTTTTGTTTTGGTGGCTTGTGTTTTTTTGCTTTCAAAAAACCAAGATGGAGCAGCTACTGTATTCCAGGCACAGTTCTTGGGGTTACAATGGGTACCCCACCCTCCCTCTCTTGTGTGTTATAGCAGGTTGTAGAGGCCTATCTTTGAGCATCTCCCCTGCTGGGCTTGGTGAGCCTTCTGAGAATAGGATGGTCACTGGATGTCCAAGAGGGAAGAATGAACTCAGGGAGGCTGACTCTGAGGTCCTGAACAGTGTAGCCTTGTCCTGAGTCTTTGTGCCTATTGCCTACTGTCTGTAGCCTCCACGCTCCACCATGCTTTAGCAGCCTTTCAATTCCAGGCCTGGAGCCCACTTCTTGTGTCCAGGAGACTTTCTGGAGCTCCTTCAGGTAAGCACACAGCCCCTCTCCCATTCATCTTGGAATTATTAAGCCAGTTCTCGGTGAGAGGGTGGATGCTGGCTGCTGGCACAGTGGCCCAGCTGCTGAAGGCTAATCTTTGCATGGAATTTGGCCCTTGCCATAGACCTTGTGGAAACTCAAAGAGGATCCAAAGTACATTTCTAAAAACACTGACCCTGCCAAGTTTTTCGTGAAAAAATGTAAAGTAGTCCCTATGGCTAAAGAAGTATGTACCCTAACTCCATGTGGGAGATGTATGTCACTCTCCCCTCCCCTCCTCACCCCACTCCCATAAATTGAAGAGTTTGAAAGTCCTGCAGTAAAGAGTCTTATTTAACTTTTTAAACCCAGCTTCTCTCAAATGGATGTGACCTTGAAGACTTGTGTTTGTGTGTGTGTGTGTGTGTGTGTGTGTGTGTGTGTGTGTGTGTAACACTATTAGTGCCTTCCCCTATCCCTGCCTGGGCCAAGCCAGCATAGTCACTACACCTGGGGACAGACCTCTTCATGTTTTCAGCAAGCAGCTTAGCTTTTCCCACACCAGGTACTGGATACCCAACAGCCTTTGGCAGAAGCCACACAGCTGGGGGGTGGGGGTGGGGCGGACACTGATGTGTGGGAAATGTTGTCTCGGCGGGTGGGAGGGGCACAGATCTGTGCTGAGAAAGGAGACACACTCTGTGGACACATCTTGCCTGACTCCCCAGGGATGACACTGCCATGCAAATTGAGACTTAAATTTAACTTTATGTAAATGTAACTTTGTAAAAATATAGTGATGTGGTGGCCAGCTCACTGGAAAGAAGGAGAGAGATAGAAAGAGGGAGAGAGAGAAAGAGAGAAGTTGAACACTGGCAGTCTTTAGGCTGTCTGTGGTGCACAGACAGGCTGCTTGTTTATGTTGTGTTTTTTTAAAGCAGGATATTTCACATGGCAATTTGGCTTCTCTTGAAACAGTGAAGATCAGGCGGTGCTGAGCTCACATTCCCACTTGGCCACAATTGGCTAGACCCAGGATCACCTGGTTGATTTATGTTTCCTACAGCGCCTGGAGCATCTGAGAGGAACCCCTGGACTTCTAAGTCTTCTCAGACCCCTTTAAATGCTCTCCTAATAACATCATACTTATTATAATTATTAGGTCATGTCTCTTCCCTATGTAAACCCTTCACTAGTTGCCCCAAAGTGAGCTCCAAGTTCCCTATAGCCTGGCACTTGCAGTGCTCAGTCATCTGGTGTTACTCAAAGACTGAGAGCTGGGCAGGAAGTTTATACAATCATGGATGGTAGATGGAGGCATGTATGGATGAGTGGGTAGATGGATGAAAAAAAGGAAGGAGTGCTGGGAAGAGAGATTGAGAGAGGCATGGCATATCAAAGAAGCCCAATGTGCCTCCAGAATTCCACATCCCTCTATGCAGTCAGACATAAGATTCCAGGATCAGGAACAAGGGATCAGAACTCAGTAGAAGAGCAAGAAAAGTCGTTTAGAAGAAGTAAGTGACCAGGTGGCTCAAAGACATTCTCTTTCTGCTCCAGGCTCCCTTCCTAGGCTCCTGCCTAGACACAACACCATGCATCTCCTAGGCCCCTTGTTTCTGCTCCTCGGTAAGGACTGTGGTCTGGGGTGGTGCTTGGGTTCTGGGGTGACTGTGGAGCTGGAGGAGGAGGAAAGATGTGGCACAGAGAAGAGTAATTGTGGGGTAGGCTTTGTGTCTTGCTGTGTGTGTGTGTGTGTGTGTGTGTGTGTGTGTGTGTGTGTGTCTCCCTCTCTCTTCAGAGGGGGTTCTTTACTCCTTTGAAAGCTCTCCATGCCCCTCAATAATGCTTTCTGATCTTGTGGGGGTTTCAGAATACTTAGCTTCTTCTAACTCACACCTATGGAAAGTTGAGCACCCGGCCATCCTCTATGCCTGGGAGGGAGCCTGTGTCTGGATTCCCTGCCACTGCGTAATCCCAGGAATGGTCCTGGAAAACCTGACTGTGTACCACAATTATGTGTATGACGATAAGACCAAGAACTACAATGGGACAATCCTCTATGAGAAGATAAAGTCACAGGTGCGTGTCTCTCAGGAAAGAGTGAAATTCCTGGGAGATGAGAAATCCAACTGCACCCTTCACATCGACCCTGTAAAAGCCCAAGACAGCGGTCAGCTGGGGCTGCTGATGACAGCGAAGAATGAAAGATGGATGGAGAATATAGTCCTCAACGTCTCCAGTAAGACCCTGGGGATGGTGTCCTTTACCTTGGGCAAGGGAAGGAGGGAAGTGGGAAACCAAAAACCAGGTGGCCTACAAAGGCCAGGCAGGGGTGCCAGTGAGTGACTCAGCAGCACAAGACAATGGGGCTATGGTCAAATCGGAACATGCCCATTCTGAAATTTGGATGCCAGGTGACCTTATTTTTCAAGAGAAAACTCTCGATTTTTAAGTAAAATCTTGCAATGTGTTAAGTTAAAATCTTGCAATGTTGGTGGTTAATTTTAACTGTCCCTTCATAGCTAAATGACACGTGTAGGGGCAGATGAAACAGATCTGAGGCCTTCCCCTCAGGCATGTGCTCACTCCATTTTATAGGCTGTCTTTGGTGGGGGGACTAGGCAGCTCTATGTTTGAAGTAAGATGTAGCTTCAGACCCTGCCGTTTGAGGGTACCCAGGCCCCAGGAGAGCCAGGATTGGCTGTCCACAATCCTGATCTACTCGAGGAACCTCTTAAAGGAGTGCTGTTAGTGGTGCCTCCAATAGTGAGGTCATTAGACAGTGCAGTTTGTTGTCAAAACTAAGAAATGCATGTTGAACTAAACTGGTGAAATTCACTTAGCAGTGGTGGGAGAGCGATCTTGAAAACATTTATTTATTTGTTTGTTTGTTTATTTATTGAAAACATTTAGAAAGCAAGCATTTGGGAGTGAGAATAAAATAAGTACAAAATATGACATGTAATTCCTAAGGAGGTTCACAAGACATTTCAGAGGATGCTTTCTCTGAACAAAAGTGATTCAAAGCAGAGAAAGGCAGGCCTGGAGAGAAGTGGATGGACTAGTAAGGCTATTTGGGCCAGAGCGTCTAAAGCCAGGTGTGAGGGGCTGGTACGCAGCAGTCCTCAGTTCTCCAGGCTGCCACCATGGTCTTTTCTCTTTTGCAGAGACCGCTCCTCCACCTCGCATTGAGGTCCCTCCAGAAATGTGGGAGTCACAGGAAGTCACTCTGACTTGCTTGCTGAATTTTGCCTGCTTTACACACCAGATCAAATTGCAGTGGTCCCTGCAAGGGTCATTTCAACTTTCCCCTGTCCTCTTGACTTCCCTGACCACCCAGACTATCTTCACCCAGAGCAAGCTCACCTTCCAGCCACAATGGACTCACCATGGCAAGAATCTGACCTGCCAGGTCTGGAATGACGTAGAAGACAGTCTGCTCTCTCAGAAAACAGTGTGGCTAGATGTGAAGCGTGAGTCTCTCCAATGCTCCTATGGGGAGGATGAGGGACTTGTCCTCTCCTTCCAACCTCTCAGTGAGCACCCAGGGTAGCAGAGCCTTCACAGAAGGAAGCATAATCAGTCTGTGGGCCCCAGAGCTGGGAGTGGTCCAACTGAGCTGGATTCCCTCCTCCACCATCCCTGTGGTCAGTATATCTGGAAACTGACTCATTTCAGCATCTGCTTATAGGAGTAGGGAACCATTTATCTGCCCAGGGCCATTTGGATATTTTTAACATCATTTGTCGGCCATACAAAATTATCAACTTAAAAATTAGCAGCTATATTTGATCGTTTGATTAACTCACCCCTAATGCCTTGGCAGGGCCAGACCAAAGGATTTCATGGGCCTTATACAGCCTGTGAGATGGATGTTTCCCATCCCTGGTCAGAATAAAATATTTTAATCTATCCTTAAGCCATGACATGATCATTAGGTTAGGTTTTATTGTTCTTCTTTGGGGAGGAGGGATTTATTTATTTATTTATTTATTACATTATTCATAGATAGATATTTGTTGCAAAACTAGGTGCAAGGCCTTATTACGGCTGCTGGGGAGATAGCAGAGAGCAAAATGCTTGCCCATATGGAGATAGCATTAGAATGGGAAAGGCAAGCAAAAAGAGATCAACAAGGAAATAAAGACCAAAACAGTAGGAGTGCTAAGTGTACTAAGAACAAACTAAAGCAGAGCTCGGAAAGAGGAAGACTTCTGTGACTCAGGTGAACTTGTGCTGAGGCTTGACTGAAGGGAGGGACTGAAGCAGGCAGATATTTTTGAGAAGATTCCAGGAAGAGGAAAGAATGAGGAGAAAATTTTGAAGAAGGAATCTAGTGTATCTGTGGCAAACAAGGGCCACAGAGCCCCAGCACAGTGTCTGAGGGGCCCAGTGTAGGAAAGGATGGTTGAGAGGGACCAGGGCACTTGAGCTTGTAGGCAGCAGTCAGGTTTTAGATTTTATTCTACATGTGGACTCCACAGAATGGTTTCAAACAAAGGAGTGACAAGGTCTGCTTGACAGTGTTAGGAATGCTGCTGGTTACTGGTGGAAACCAGACCTGCAGGGACTGGGGGTGGGAGGAACAGAGACAGGAGTTAGGAGGCTGTGATGATTGCCAGCCCATACTTGTTGACAAGGGTAACAGTGAGGGGCTGCATCCCCCACATGCTATACGCAGGCCACTGTTTTATCAGAAGAAGGGCCTGGAAACTTCTTGCTACTTTACCCTCTCTAAGAATTCCCTGTCTCCTCCCTCACTGTCCCTCTGCTCCTCCAGACAAACCAAAGTTGGAGGTCTTTCCCAAAGAAGCCACTGTAACAGAGGGTGATCCTGTGACCATGATGTGCAAGGTCATCAGCAGCAACCCAGAGTACCAGACTCTTTCCTGGTTCAAGGATGGAATCCTCATGAGAGAGCAGGAGACACTGCAAAGGGAGCAGAAGACTCTCAATCTAACTCTGCCTAAAGTGACCAAACAGATGAGTGGAAAGTATCGTTGTGATGCCAGCAATTATTGGGGCACATCAGCATCAGAAGCGGTCCTCCAAGTGCTCTGTGAGCCTCCTGGGAGCTGTGGAAGGGCAGGCAGGGAGTTAGTGGGGTAGAACCAAGGCCCTTAAGAGGCCAGCAGCAGAGACCTCTGCTCAACTCCACCTCTTGCCTCTTCCCCTTTTTCCAGATGTTCCAGAACCTTCCAGGGTTCAGATCTTCTCCTCGCCAGCTAAGGAGGAAAGTACAGTAAATCTGACTTGTATATCACAGGCCAATCCTCCTCCAACCAATTATACCTGGTATCACAATAACATTGAAGTATGGAGAGGAACAGATAAGACCTTTCAGATCTTACAGGTCCTCCACAAGCATGCTGGGAGTTATTCCTGCTTGGCAGAAAACAGTCTTGGTCGTGGACGAATTGACCAGTATGCTGAATTGGATGTCCAATGTGAGTAGTCAGAGCCTCTGGGTCCTAGAGGGAAAAGATGGATGTGGGTGGAGGAGGAAGCAGATGAGTGTATGGCATTCCTGGGTCCTAGAATGAACAGCAAGCAGAAGCCAGGCCCTCCTGACATGTAAGCTCCTGGGTGTTCTGCTGTTGTTCACAGCTGTATTCTCAGCACCAGAACAAGGCCTGGCTGGTGGTAGGTGCTCAATAGATTATTGAATGAATAAACTTCTCGATGCCAGGGCCCCTTGAGGGACACAGAGACTTGGCATCACTAAGCAGTGGCTGTGTCCCAGAGGGGGTTCTGAAGTGTTCGAGGAGAACTGGGGAAAAATGTGTCACTACCTCTACATCATCAGACCCTGTTTAACACAGTGAATCTTGTCATTGAATCAAGCCCAGGACAAAGAGAATTTAATAGTTTCTTGGACCCTGGAACATTATCATCTGGACCAAATACACTGATGGGAATGCCCAAATCTTGAACATCTAGATCACATGTGTCAAACACAAGGCCCGCGGGCCAAATCCGTCCCGCCAGGCCTTGCAATGTGGCCCGCACCGCGCTGTCATCACTGCACTCCGCTGCGTTTCCATCACAATGACAGTTTATGACTGTTCAGTAAACCATTCGGCCCGCGATTTAGGCTAGATTTTAGATTTTGGCCCCTTCTCTGATTGAGTTTGACACCCCTAATCTAGATATATCGCCTAATATGTGATAGCAGCAGTGGCTTATTAAGTGTTTACAAACACCACACTGCTTTAAGGACATCATCTTATTTTGTCTTGGCAACAATCCCATGAGGTTAGATATTCTTAGAACCTCATTTGGCAGATGAGTAACTGGTCACACAGTTCTAAATGGTAGAGCCGGCAGCTTCAGAGCCGTGATGATGATGATGATGATGATGATGATTATTGCTATTATTGTTACTAACACTCATGCTACAGCCACCCAGCTGTGTGTGCAGACCCTTGCAAAGACCCACAAACAGCACCACATGTTCTCTGTCAGAGCTGTGCTCCTAACTGCTGCTCCAACCTGCCTCTAACCGCAGCCAGGCCAGACAAGAAGGGCAGGGTTTCTGTCCTCACACAGATGCCAGAAGGAAGTTCAAACCTTCCTGTGGTTAGTTTAGGAACTATGTGAATGCCGGAAGGAACAGGTATTATGACCACTGACTTTTCTTCACCCATTTCTCTCATTTCCTCCCAGATTCCCCCAAGGAGGTAACCATGGTGATTCAAAACTCCACACAAATTCGAGAAGGAGACAATGTGACCCTGTCCTGTAACTATACTTCCAGTAACCCCAGTGTTACCAGATATGAATGGAAACCCCGTGGCTCCTGGAAAGAGCTAGTACCTGGGGTGCTAAGGATTCAAAAAGTTGCCTGGAATGCCGAGCCATTCACCTGCGCAGCCTGTAACCAGTGGTGTTCGTGGGCTCGCCCTGTCAACCTGCAGGTCCAATGTGAGTGACCCGGGCAGGGGCCTCGGGGAGGTGGCTTGGGTGGGAGATGTGGTTCTAAGGGTGAGGAGGCTGAAGCCTGAACCAGAATCTTTACAGAGAATTGAGGAGATACGAGTCAGACCTCAGCACCAAGGGGAGAGGAGCTCCTGGGGACAGGAAGGGAAAATGGGACCCAAGAAGTCAGACTGAGGCCCTTGCTCTCCAGATGCCCCCAGAGATGTCAAGGTCCTGCTGATTAGCCCTCATTCTGAGATTCACTCCGGACACGTAGTCCTCCTCCGGTGTAACTTCTCAAGCAGCCGTCCCACAGATGTTCACTTCTTCTGGAAGAAGAATGGGATCTTTCTGAGGGAGGGAAGAGAACTGAGCTTTGGCTCCATCTCCCCAGAAGACGCTGGAAGTTACAGCTGTGTGGCCAGTAACTCCATAGGACAGAGCACATCCAAGGCCTTGGTGCTCCCAGTGCAGTGTGAGTAGCTGGGCCTGGACCTAAGAGCAGACAAGGGCAGGTAACTGGCGACCTGGGTCCTGATGTAACTTCTTCTTACAGATGCACCTAGGAAGCTATGGGTGTCCATCAGCCCCAAAGACAGAGTGATGGAGGGGAAGAAGGCAGTCCTGACATGTGAGAGTGATGCCAACCCTCCCATCTACCAATATAACTGGTTTGACTGGGATAACCAGAACCTCCACCATAATCATCGGATGCTGAGACTGGATCCTGTGAAGGTCCAGCACTCAGGCGCCTATTGGTGCCAGGGGTTCAACAAACTGGGTGTGGACCGGTCGCCCCCCAGTACCCTCACTGTCTATTGTAAGGCCCTTCCCTCTTCTTCTCTGGCCTTGGCCACTCCTGTAGTTGTTGCCCTGAGACTGTGCATTCCAGACTACCTACCCCATCTTTCCTCTCCTCTCCCTCCCTATCCTGCCAGGCCAGCCCCACCCATGTGCTCAAAGGCCCTCCCCCTGCACACAGCTCCATGGCCTCCCTCCTCCCGCTTGGTCTCTCCTGGCTCTCTCCAGGAGCATTCCCCGGGCAGGCTGCTTCCACCTTTCAGACATCCTGAGCTCCTACGGGGTCCCTCTCTCTGTCTCTTTCTGTCTCATCCTTAGTGTTTTTTTAAGACCATAAAGTAGATGGTAAAAGACTAAAACAGCATGAAAGGGTACAGAGTGGAAATACCTCTCCTTTCTTGCTCCCTGAGAACTCTGCTCTCTCCTTCAAAGCCTTCATTCACTGTTGGCAGCGGTTTACGTCTCCTCAGAGGATCCTGTATGTGCACAGTGTGCATCTATCCATCTGTGTCTACACAGCCTTCCTTTCACAAAGAGTAGCAGGGCTCACACTTTGCCCTGAATCTCCCCTCTACCCTCCCCCCTAATCTAATAACACCACCTGGAGAGTGCATACAGAGGGTGTGTGGAAACATAGGGAAAATATTGTATTTATTTATTATGCTTTTTTTCAGATTTATAATTGGAGCTATGTTTTTAAATTTAGAGGACCATTGCCTGCAAAACTGCACACTAAAGGGAAGTAGCCTGAGTGTGTTACTTTGAAATGTAACACCGTCTAAACACATGTTCCCTGGTTTCCACTTGGTGGGCGCCCTGGAGACCTGTCTCTTTTCCTGAAGGCTATGCCGTATTCCAGTGTGTGAATGCTGCTCAGTGCCCTTCTCACTCGTGTGCAAGTCTCTTGCTTGGGCACCCCTGCAAGGATAGTTGCAGGACAAAGTTCTACATGAAATTGCTGGGTCCAAGGACAATTCTGTGAAGTTCTAGTAGAATGGCCAAGTGCTCTCTGAAGAAGTTGTACTTTATGAGGGTTAGTGCTTTGTGTGTGCTCCTGCCTGTCACAAAGCAGGTCCTCCCAATGGCAGGCCTAGAGGGGCCTAGCTTCCCTCTCTTTGCACTGTGTCCTCACTGGTGGAGGTCACACAGGACAAAGGACAGGGCTCTACCAAGAAAAGATGAGGATGCCCTCCAAGCAGATGTCCAGGGCAGAGTAGGTTGGTATCTGACTGAGACACTGTCCTCAATGGAGGGTCCTCCTTTCCCCATCAGATAGCCTGCAGACCATCAGCCGGCGAGTGGCCCTGGGACTGGGGCTGTGCCTGGTCATCCTCTTCCTGGCATTCTTGGGAGTCAAGTTTCAGCGAAGGTGAGCTCCTCTCACTGCCCTCCCTTTCTCTTCCTTCAGCTTTCCCTCTGTCCCTCAGCCCATTCCAGGGAATAACTCCTTACTCAGTCCTATAGGTTCAGCTCACCCATTCCACAGGGCCTTCCCCACCTTGCTCCTCACTGAGCGTGTTTTATTTCTTAGCTGGAAGAGGATTCAGAGCCAGCAAGGGCCTCAGGAAAATTCCAGTGGGCAGAGCTTCTTTGTGAGGAATAACAAGGTAGGATGGAAGAAAGACAAAGTGCAAGCAGACCTTAAGTCAAGCAAAGAAGCAAAATGAAGGGGGGCGATGAAGAGGACTCTGGAGAAGCATGGGCTGTCAACCTCCTGGGAAGGGAACTGCGGTGGGGAAAGGAGGGGTGAGAGCTGAAACCCTGTCCCTCATGCAGATTAGAAGAGCCCCCCTCCCTGAAGGCCTCCAGTCCCTGGGCTGCTACAATCCGGTGATGGAAGATTCTATCAGCTATGCGATGCTGCGCTTTCCTGCTGGCGAGACTGACACACCCAGGATTGGGTACTGAGGGGACCGGGGAGGGTGACATCTGCATCCTGGGAGGGTTTTGGGAGGAAAAGCCCATGCCCCACCTGCCATCTTTGCCCAAGCCTATGCCAGGCACCACTATGCTCCCATTTCCTCATTCCAGCTCCATGACAACCCACCCCCTTTGGTAAGTAATGGTCTCAGGAATTGGACCTGCTCCTTCAAGTCAGGAGAACATATGCCCAGAGTCCGTCTCTGTCACCAAGGTTAAGACTGTGGTACTTACTCATTTGACAAATCAGCTCCTGCTGTGAGCATTAGGTGTACACAGAAAGGACTGAGAGGCTGGAGTGCTCTTGGAGTCTAGGGAAGTTAAAAGAAAGGGCAGAATTCATGAGAAATGTTTCATTTGTGGTTATCTATCTGCCTTCCCTCTCAGGGATGCAGGGACCCCAGAGGTGCACAGACCTTCCCTAAACAGGGACAACACGGTCACTTACTCCGTGGTGCAGAAGCGGCAAGTGGTAAGAGGGCAGGGTGTGGAAGGAGGGACTGGAGGGCCTGGCCCCGCTGTGAGCCCCAGGTGGGGAGGCTTGGTCTCAGCGGTGTCAAGGCTAGGTGAGGGGAGGTGGCTCAGGCATGGGGCAGGCCCCTCCCACTCTGAGATACCAACAGCAGCTGATTTCTGAACAAGAGTGCTCCTGCTTAGGCTCTAGAGTAGGGGTGTCGAACTCAATCAGAGAAGGGACCAAAATCTAAAATCCAGCCTAAATCGAGGGCCGAATGATTTACTGAACAGTCGTAAACTGTCATTGTGATGGAAACACAGCGGAGTGCAGTGATGACAGCGCGGTGCGGGCCACATTGCAAGGCCTGGCGGGACGGATTTGGCCCGCGGGCCTTGTGTTTGACACACGTGCTCTAGAGGCTCTCCCCACCCCCTCCCCCGCCATGGAGTCAACAAGAGAAAACTGTAGGTCAGGCATGTGGCTTTCTGACCATGATGTGGCTTTCTCAGGGCGACTATGAGAACGTGATTCCAGATGCTCCAGAAGACGATGGGATACATTACTCGGAGCTGGTTCATCTTGGGGTTGCGGAGCGGCCTCTGAGACAGGAAGGAGTGGAGTACGTGACTCTAAAGCACTAATGCATCAAATTGGCTGAGGTGGAGGTGCCTAAGGGCTGTCGGGATAGTCATGGCCCCTGCAGTCCCTGTTGCTCAATCGAGAAGTTACACAACCTCTCCTTACATACATACACACATGCGCGCGCGCGTGCACACACACACACACACACACACACACACACACACACACACGTACATACTCGTGTACAATTACTGCATCCCAGTCATACAGAGAACTTTGGGCATGGCCCAGAGACAGTCTTCCCTCTCAGCATTGGTAACCTCAACCATCCCAAAGGCCTGGCCCTATCCTTCCCACTCTCCTTCCCTCCCAGAAAATCATCTGAACACCTAGCCTGCACTGTACAAATCCTCTGCCCCTCCCCAACCATCTGCCACCACCCAACCCCTCCAACACCCACCCCAGCTGTCTGTGTCCCTGGGGAGGTCAGCTGTCGCTAGCTTTTCCTTTTCCCCTCCCCATCCCCTTAACACCCCACCCTCCTGCCCCACTCTGAGAGCCCTACTCACTAATCTTAAGCCTAATATATCTGAAGCAAAGTCCAAAGGAAGGGACAGAAATGAGGCAGAAAGAGGAACTATCTGGCACTGACTTCTCCTCTCTGTGTCAGGGGTTGGTGGTCTGAGACATACACCAGTGTGAACAAACATGTAACAAGCAAAGAGTTGCACAATAAAAATGTCTTGATTATTTCAAAGAATCAGTGAGCTAATTCTGGTCTGTGGAATCAGAGTCGGACAGAGATGTGGGCTGGCCTCATGGATGGGGCTTAAGGAAAAGGGACAGGAGTCAAGGTAATTTCATGATCAAATCAGCAGGTTGAAAAGTCTGTTAGCTTGTTTCAAAGAGCCCACTGGCTCTGCCTCTTCTGCTTTCCTAGCCAAGTCACCTTGGGCCTTGGCCATCTGCTTATTTGAGCCTCAGATAGCTCAGTGTAGGAAGTGCTGTATAATCTTACATGCTTGAGTCCCGTTATGAGAAGCCTTATGCAATAGCTAAAAGTCCCCACACCAAATTCTCATCTTATTTGCATCTCTTGAGAATGCGAAAAGAGGAAGCCAACCCGTTACAGCTATTCTCAAGAGTGACCCTGCCAAGTTCCTTTTGCAGTCCAAGCTGCCTAAGAGCTCCTTGAAGGCCAGCTGCCTTGAGAAACCTCTGAATTTTTCTACCTTCCTCAGTCTCTCCACCAATTCCCTCTTGTATTCACCAGTTCTGACTTCCCTGGAGGTCCTTGCCTCCACTTGTCAGGTTTGATCTCTCCCCTCCAATTCTCTTGCTATGCCAATGGGCAAAGCCCATTCTCTGTAGGAGCAAGAAGGTGTGGTTAATCCACTCTCTTCCCTGTCCCCCTTTCCTCTGCTCAACACTGAAGGCTCGCAAAGAGAAGAGTAGGTTCTGCTCATCCTCAAAATTACAGAATGAGGCACTGATTTATCAGTCTACTTTGCCCTCATTTTATTTTTGGTTTTTTTGCACTTTATCTTTATTGTTGAAAGTATTACTATTCCCTCCCCAGGCCTTCACCACACATTGTCTGTATCCATGGGTTATGCATATATGCATACAAGTTCTTTGGTTGATCTCCTCCCATCCCTCCTCACTTCCACCCACAGGCTTCCCTATGAAATACTTTAATGACTCTATTTCTATTTTGTTTGTCAGCTTATTTTGTTCATTAGATCATGTGATAATTGTCTTTCTCTGACTGGCTTATTTCACTTAGCATAATACTCTCCAAGTCCCTCCATGCTGTCTCCAGGGTAAGATACTCTTCTTTTTATATAGCTGCCTAGTATTCCATGGTATAAATGTACCACAGCCTTTTTATCCAATCATCTGCTGATGGGCACTTGGGCTGTTCCCAAATCTTAGCTACTGTAAACTGTGCTGCTACAAACATAGAAGTTCATATATTCCTTTCTTTTTATTCATTTTTTTTAAAAATTTCTTTATTGATTAAGGTATCACATATTTGTCCTCATCCCCCCAATCCCATCCCTCACCCCTCCCCACTCATGCCCCCACACCCCTATTGTTCTTGACCACTCGTTAGGCTCATATGTGTGAACACAAGCCCTTTGGTTGATCTCTCCCTTTTATCCCCACCCTCCCTCTGAGGCCCAACAGTCTGACCCATGGCTCCTTATCTCTGGTTCTGTTCTCGTTCATCAGTCTATGTTGTTCACCATTTCCCCCAGATGAGTGAGATCATGTGCTACTGGAAATACACTTTTAAGAACCGAAAATGAGATAAGCAATAATCGTTATGCTGAAAGGCAAATGAATCAGTCTGTAGTGAGTGTTTTTCTGGGCCAACAATTCTTTTGAGACCCAATTTCAATGTCAAACAGTTTGTTATGTGTATATGTCAGCAATGATATTTCAGTTATGTATATTCCTTTCTGATTGGTGTTTCAGGCTTCTTAGAATACATTCCTAGAAGTGGGATCACTGGGTCAAATGGCAGTTCTATTTTTAATCTTTTTAAAATATATTTTATTGATTTCAGAGAGGAAGGGAGAGGAAGAGAGAAACAGAAATATCAATGATGAGAGCGAATCAGCTGCCTTCTGCGTGTCCCCCCTCCCCCCCCCTTGGGATAGAGCACAACCGCAGCGTGTGCCCTGACCTGGAACCAAACAATGACATCCCAGTTCATAGGCTGATGCTCTGACACTGAGCAACACTGGCTGGTCTATTTTTAACATTTTGAGGAAACTCCACACTGTTTTCCATAGTGGTTGTACCAGTCTACATTCCCAGTGTACGATTGTTCCTTTTTCTCCAACTCCTTGACAGCATTTGTTGTTTGTTGACTTATTGATGATCATCATTCTGGCAGGTGTGAAGTGGTACCTCATTGTCCTTTTAATTTGCATCTCTCTGATGATTAGTGATGTTGAGCATTTTTTCACATGTCTCTTGGCCATTTGTGTGTTCTCTTTGGAGATGTGTCAATTCAGGTCTTCTGTCTTCCTTAGATTGGATTGTTTGTCTTCCTTTTGTTGAGTTGTGTGAGTACTTTATATATTTGGAAATTAACCCCTTACGTATCATTGGCAAATATGTGCTTCTATGCAGTGGGTTTCTTTTTCATTTTGATGCTGGTTTCCTTTGCTGTACAGAAGCTTTTTAGTTTGATATAGTCTCATTTGTTTATTTTTTCTTTGTTTCTCTTACCCTAGGCCAGTGGTCGGCAAACCGTAGCTCGTGAGCCACATGCGGCTCTTTGGTCCCTTGAGTGTGGCTCTTCCACAAAATGCCATGCGCGTACAGTCCAATTGAAACTTCGTGGCCCGTGCACAGAAGTACAGTTTTCGGCTCTCAAAAGAAATTTCAATAGTTGTACTGTTGATATTTGGCTCTGTTGACTAATGAGTTTGCCGACCACTCCCCTAGGCAATATATCTGTGAAAATTCTGCTACATGAGATGTCTGACATTTTATTACCTATGTTTTCTTCTAGGATTTTATGATTTCATGACTTTGTATTATATATTTTTTTAGTTTATTCTTAAGTATTTTATCCATTTTGAGTTTATTCTTATGTGTGGTGTGAGTTGATGGTTTAGGTTTTTTTTGTTGTTGTTGTTGTTGTTTTTTTTGCATGTACCTATCCAATTTTCCCAACACCATTTATTACAGAGACTATCTTTACTCCATTGTATTCTCTTGCCTCCACTGTCAAATATTAATTGATCACAGTGGCTTAGGTTGATTTCTGGGTTCTTTGTTCTGTTTCATTTATGTATATGCCTGTTCTTGTGCAAGTACTAGGCTTTTTAAAAAATATATATATTTTATTGATTTTGTACAGAGAGGAAGGGAGAGAGATAGAGAGTTAGAAACATCGATGAGAGAGAGTCATCGATCAGCTGCCTCTTACACAGCCCCACCAGGGATATTCCCGCAACCAAGGTGCATGCCCTTGACCGGAATCGAACCCGGGACCCCTCAGTCCCCAAGCCGACGCTCTATCCATTGAGCCAAACCGGTCTCGGCTTGTTTTTGTTTTTGTTAATTAGGAGCCATTTATTGCATTCGGCCCAGAGGGAGGTGTTTCTTCCAAATCTCTGAGTGAAGACACAGAAAAGTTTTCCGTATTTATACCTCTTGGGCTCTTTGTCTGCTGATTTTACAGAGTTCTGTGTGAGTTATTGTTACAGCTTGTAATCTTGGATACATAAAGAACAAACATTTGGCTTAAGAATATGGGAGTTATTAGTCCATTATTTTATTTTATTTTTTATTTTTTAAAATATATTTTATTGATTTTTTACAGAGAGGAAAGGAGAGAGATAGAGAGCTAGAAACGTTGATGAGAGAGAAACATCGACCAGCCGCCTCCTGTACACCCTCCACTGGGGATGTGCCCGCAACCAGTGTACATGCCCTTGACCAGAATCGAACCTGGGACCTTTCAGTCTGCAGACCAACGCTCTACCGCTGAGCCAAACCGGTTTCGGCTTAGTCCATTATGTTAGATGGCTATCTTGTAAGGTCACGTAGTTGTTTTTATCTTTTTCTATTATTTAAACTAAAAGTTATTTTATGAAATAAGAGACTGGCTAAAAATAACAGTTTACAGAACAAGGGACTATAACAATAGCAGAGAATTTCCAACAGGAGTTTTTATACAAGATGGAGGTTACTATGCTTCAAAACAAGGTGCAAAGCTGCCATTCTCGAAGCATTTTCTCAATCCGTTGTCACCTGTTTGGCCTAAATAAACACACAGAAATTCTTCACACGTTTGAATGTTTCCCAGTTATCACAGACATGAAGACCAGAGCATCCATCCAGGCAGGTGGCTTTCCTTAGGCTGCCACCGGAGGAAGGTGGGTGGTTTGCAGTTGGGATTGTTTTGCAATCAGAACTTTCAGCCAGGTGATCAGGAATGCCTGTCTATTTTCAGGGGAGCAAGAAATTCTAATCTCAGCTAATCATTCATAAAACAAAGGCAGGAAGTGGGGTGTGTGTGTGTGGGGGGAGGGTCTGAAAAAACCAGCAGGTTCAGAAGAAAGGAAACATTTGTCGCCTTTGTCATTGGTAGCCAGGGGCCATCTGCAATCCTGCGCGCGGCGAGTGGGCAGTGCATCTCACTCAACAAAGCGCGGGCGGGCGCGGCGCCCACAGCAGCCCCCCAGCCGCGGGCGCGGGGCGGGGTCCCACCCCCGGGTCTCCCACCCGCGGGTCTCGGAGCACAGGCAGGAATGCTCTGCAGGGCCGCCCTTCAGTCGGGATCTTTTTGGAAGCAGAAACCTGTACTTCCCGTGGACCAACGGCTTCTTCAGATGGCTTTAAGCCGCTAACAGGCAGAAAGATGCCTGGAAAGGAGACCTTGGGCCGGGTCAGGCAGCGCCGCTTCGCAGCGCCCGGGCCAGGACCACAAGCACCGGGGAGCCCGCGCCGCAGCCTCGGCGCCGGGAGGGAGGCGGGATCCTGCGTCTCCGGGCGCGGGGAAGGGGAAGGACGGGAAGGGTAGTCTCCCGGGCCTTGGCTCTTCGGGAGAGTAACTCAGGAGTTCCCCTGCCAAGGCGCCAGCAGGCCATAACGTAGCAACCTCCGCGAGCC